ACACCATAAATTTCGTCTTGCTGGTGTTTATGTTTAGTCCCAGATCTACTCCAGTTGAGCTTATTTTATCAATCAGATGTTGGAGCCCCTCCATACTATCGCAGATAATCAGAGTGTCATCTGCATATCTAATTGTATTCAAGAGAACACCGTTAACTTTTATTCCATGTTCGGTGCCCTCCAAGGCCTCTTTAAATATTTTATCCGAATATAGGTTGAATAAGAGGGGCGAGAGGACACAACCCTGGCGAACTCCTCTCTGGATTTCTAAGCTAGAAGTTTTTATTGATCCAGTACGAACCTCAGCTGTTTGACCCCAATAGAGGTTTTCAATCAATCTGATATCTTTGCTGTCTAGTTGGATTTGTCGCAGTATTTCCATTAGCTTTGAGTGGCGCACCCTGTCGAAGGCTTTTTCATAATCAATAAAGCATGCGAAGACATCTTTCCGTTGGTCGCGACATTTTTGAAGTAGGACATTGGCTCCAAAAAGGGCCTCTCGTGTTCCAAACGCATTTCTGAATCCCATCTGGGCGTCGTCCATATCGAATTCGCACTTCCGTCGTATCCTGGCATGAATAATACGTAGAAAGGTCTTCAGTAGGTGGCTCATGAGGCTAATTAGTCGATAGTCGCCGCATTTTTTAGGACGAGTTTTTTTAGGGATTGTCACAAATGTTGAGTTTAGCCAGTCTTTTGGTATCACTCCGGTGTTATATATTGTGTTAAATAAGTTTGTGATTAGTCCTATGTTGTTCCCCTCAATAAGCTTTAAGACCTCTATTGGAATCCCGTCGGGACCAGGAGCCCTTCTGGTCTGCGCCGTTGAAATAGCATGGATCACCTCCGCCTGGAGTATTTCTGGTCCGTCAACAATATCCTGGGCGTCGGGCAGGGGTGGTCTCTCGTCCCTGAAAAGATCATCTATATATTGCTCCCAGGTGGCTTTTACTTCATCTTCCTTAATGATAGGCTGATCTAATCCATCAAAAAGTGACAAGGAATGTTGTTTCCTGTTGATTCCAGCTATCTCTTTAATTTTTTTGTGCATTTGGTGGGTGTTGTGTCTGCTTTCAAGATCTTCCATTTCTCTGCATTTATCCCTCATCCAGCGTTCTTTTGCCTTCTTAATTTCTGCTTTTATGGTCCTGTTCATTTGGTTATATTCCTCCTTGTTATTCTTAACCAATCTTCGTCTCTCCATCAGGTTCAATATGTCATCAGTCATCCACCTGCTCTTCTTGAGTCTTTTGGCTGGTTGTAAGTTTTTGGAACATACCCCGGTAAGAATACACTTTAGCTCCTCCCAAAGGGGTTGCACTTGTGGGCAATTTTTGTGTGCCACTTTGGCCAATTCGCTGTTGAGTTCTTGTCGCAAGTGCTCTCTTACTCGTGGATCCTCTAATTTTGACATATCTAACAGGTTGTCTTTTGGATTACTTTTAGTAACCTTTAACTTTAACTTGAGGTTCGCCACCAACGGGACATGATCGGATTCCGCGTCAGATCCTGGGTAGGTTGTGACACTTTTTATACAGTTTCTAAAGCGTTTATTGATGAGAATATAATCGATTTGGTTTCTTACAGGTTCTTGAGTGTCACTTTCAGCGGGTGATATCCATGTGTAAAGACGCCTTTTAGGAAGTTTAAACCAAGTGTTCGTAATGACCATGTCTTTCTCTTGACAAAACTCAAACAGTCTATCTCCCCTGTAGTTACCTTCTCCCAGTCCAAATCTCCCCACTAGATCCAGTCGGTGCCCCTGACCAATTTTAGCATTAAAAATGACAATTGGGGATTGATATTATAGTGTTAAATTCAATATTAAATTAGCAAAATCTCCTCACTAATAAAAATATTGTATATCAAAATAAGTTCATTAGGCGCAATTTACCATTATACAAAAGTGCTTCGTTTGTCCGGAGTGCTTCGTTTGTGTAGAGGGGATCAAACTTTAAAAAAATACACATTTTTTTCAGATATTTTAAGAACCGTTATTCCGATTTGAATAAGATTTTGGGTGTCTATGTTTTGCTAAGTGCTCTAACATTTAAGTTTCAGAAAAATCATGACTAAGTACGAGATGGATGAAAACTACCCCCACCCCTACATATTTTTTTCGAAAAATGGTCCCTCTAGTATTTACTACATTTTTTATCTCTTGTAAAAAAACGCCACCGTGCATACTTTTTGAGGAAAAAAAAATTCCGAAGCTGATTTTCAAAAGATGTTTCGGTTTGGTTTAGTTTGGTTGCAAGGTACAGCCGTTCGGTATACAAGAAAGGTAATGTGGCTAGCACTACGCTTCAACCGCCTATTATTACCTCAGAATTGTGAATCCCAAGTACTCATTTAAGGCTGAGTCGACCTAGGTACCCAAACTATTTTTATTTTAATAAAAATAGTCGGCTGATGAAATGCCGGGTGTGGGATTCGAACCCACTACCTTGAGATTGGTAGACGAGAGCCTGTACCTCTACGCCACGGGGCACCTAAAATATATTATGCTCTTAATAATCTAGTTGGCGAAAATATGGAAAATCTTACGTTAGTATCACAAATTATATTGGACAATAAGCTTCATAAAAGCTTTAAAACATTAATCAATTTTAAATTAATTAACGTTCGGGTTTATTTTTGATTGATGCCCTCTAACGAACAAACAAAGCACATTTGTATAATGGTAAATTATGTGCAATTAATTTATTTTGGTTCGAAAAATACGTAGTTGTTCCATGTCCACGGAATATTGGAACTCCCTGTATATTTTGTAGGTCTGCATTGAAAAATAAATTCTCCAATTTCTTTTTTCTCAAAAACTACGCGATGTGACCTTTTTTTTTACAAGAGACAAAAAATGTAGGTAATACTAGAAATACCATTTATACGAAAAGAAAATCGGTCGTCGGTTGAGTTGGAAAGTATTTACACTAAAATTTATGTAGGGGTGAGGGTAGTTTTGACCTCGGTTTTCACTCTTCCCGTACTTTTTCGTAATTTTTGTGAAAGTCAAATGTCAGCACTTGGCAAAATACAGACACCCAATCTCATTCAAATAGCCATAACGATTCTTAAAATATTTGAAAAAAAGTGTTTATTTTTTTTAAAGTTTGATGCCCTCTAGCGGACAAACGAAGCACTTTTGTATAAAGGTAAATTGTGTCCAGTGAACTTATTCTGATTCCAAAAATACGTAGTAGTTCTATGTCCACGGAATATTGGGACACCATGTATATCAGACGGAGCGAAAAATTGCTGTCATCTTCGTTTCGTTTATCAGGAAGCATAGACACGATAAAACTATTTTGAATCAAGAGGTATTTTGAGTTAAAGCTACTTATTGCAATTCCCTAGACATAACAAATAATGCAACATTATCCAGGGACATATTCGAAAATATTCTAGTTGTTACTTTTTAATAAGAAAGTTATAAAGAACTAATCTAAACCCTTTAGTATTAAAAAATATACATACCGTGCTGGCAACTGTTACTCTTGGGTCGGTATTTACATGTGTGGAAGTAAATCGCATAGGGATCTTATTAAGTCGGAGTGAGAGAAATGCGACGGAGTGCTGTTGGCGGCGTTGCCGGTACGCCTTTCCCTATCAAGTAGGTAAAGTAAAATCACGATCGCAAACCGCTTATTTTTAAAAGACTTTTTTTTCGAAAAGATAACTAGATAGAATCATTAGAAATGTTTCTGAGCATCTGAAATGGAATTATAAGGATATCTATAAGGTGTCATTTTTTTTATAACTCAAGAAACACTTTAGATATTAAAACTTTTTCTTATTTTGAAGATAGGACCTTTTACAATATGTTTCCATAAGAAAAATTCGATAAGGTTGTTTTTTTCCATTCAAAAATTGTAAACAACCCATCTATTTACTTTTAGAGCATAGCAATTTTCAGCAGCCGTGTAATTTTTTATTGATAAAGATTTTCACTTACTGTCTATGAAGAAAATACAGCAGAAATATTAAGAAAGTTTTTGAAAAAATTCAATTCAATTATCAATTATTTCTAATAGATTTCAAAATATCGATTTTTGAATTCAGAGTTCTAATAGCCCGACCACTGTCGAAAACCAACTCAATTCCACTTATTTTTACCAAAAATGCAAGTGTTTCTAGCTTGTACTTAAAAATTTTCAAGCTATAGGGAAAATTACAGCGACTCGTTAATAAATAAACAAAATAAAGTCAAAATTACGAGACGTAATTAAATCGTGAAGCTGAACGCATGATGTACACCTTTCCCTAGAACTTTAAGTACTGACAGAGGTACTGATTGGGTCGACCGGTCAACTGCGACAAAACTGCGACAAATCTGCTATATCCCCTTCCACGTCTCTTAGCAATGTGCACAGTTTCTCGATTCATTTCATACGTTTGGCAACGTGTTTACTGTTCTCTCTTTGTTCAGTACATTATAAACGCATTGTACTCTTCTTACATACGGAATTCTCGACCCAAGACTAACCTTTGCCAGCCCTTAGTATTATTCAATTTAATAACATAATGCAGAATTTATTTTTACAAACAACAAGTATATACAGGGTGAGTCTTATTAAGTGCAAATGTTTTGAGGACTGATATATCTCGATAAAAGAAACATATTTTCTCTTTACCGTTATTCAAATCTAACATTCAAATAAGTCCAAAATAACAGAGTTATTTTACTTTGAAAATTAAAAAAAAATGATTTTTTGCTTAAATTTTGTGACCCACTGGATCTTTTCTCTGTTCTCTTTCTTGTAAACTTAATCAACTACTTATGTTGCCATATTATTAAGATATTATATTTTTTAACTGAAAATTCTAAAACAAAAATTTCAGAAATTCAACATTTTCAAAAAAAAATTCGCGAAAGGACCTCATAGGAGTGTTTCTGGGTTCTAAATACACTACCCCAAAAATATTTGCACTTATTTAAGACCCACCCTGTATAAGCATTTAGATTCAGCCAAAAAAGCAAACTTTATTCGATTGTAACTTACCTTAAAATACTTTACAGTCTTGACTCTTAATTCCATAGTTGAATCTTCATCACAAATTATAAATGTCTGGGGATGTTGCTGGAACGCAGACACTGTCCACATGTGATTTATCCCCTCCTCGATTGCCTTGTATAAGGCAAAGGCTTTATGTGAACCAGTTATTAAAATCATTACCTAGGACCATACTTATTAATAAAATTATTTTAAGGAAAAAACATGATAAGCGCTAATTTCTTAGTTTTAGGGTTTTATAATATTATAGTAGGTTTAACCGGTCCCTGCAAAAGCTGTAAAAACCTGTGATATATGCCTAGTAAAAATATACCTACAGGGAAAGAACCTGATGACCACCAGCCATCCAGGGCTCTCCTATAAAATTAGTAAAATGGCGCTTATCATGTTTTCCCCCTGGACCTTTTTAAAATGGTCTGCTTGAAAATCGGCCTAGGGCCATTCTTGCCGATTCATATGTAAAATGACTAGTAATGGGAAAACCCGATTAATTTTAATAATCGAGTACTCGAGTTTCAAGCGATCTCAATAATCGAGCGATCGCTAGAGCAAAATTTCGCTCGTATTTAAAAATACGGTTATTCGCCCGTCGCTTGTTGTACTCGTAACGCCAGAACAGTAGGTTGCGTGCGCAACACATTCTTTAGGTGATGAATGACAAGGGCAAGTAGCAAGCGACGAGTAATTCGCTTGATTTAGTTTATAGTTTATATATATATATATATATATATATATATATATATATATATATATATATATATATATATATATATATATATATATATATATATATATATATATATATATATATATATATATATATATATATATATATATATATATATATATATATATATATATATATATATATATATATATATATATATATATATATATATATATAGAGATATGGCAAAGTCCAATACTGCCGCAATTCCGCTATTAGCGCTGTTATTTTGCGTTTGTCGAACTTGTTCGACAAATTGTCGAGTTATGGCAACACAAAATAGCGTTGATTGATTTTGACGAGTATGCCAAAATTTTTAAAAATTTAGCCTTAACCTAGTTTTCTGATTTTGTCATCAAATAAGCATCTATATTCATAATTTTTCTTTATTTTCATAAAAAAAATTACTTTTAAATATATCAGGAATTTTAATTAGTGTCCAAAAGAAAGTGTGTCTAAAAAAGAGTACAATTTAACACAATAAAGAGTTATCTCAATTTTTATAAAAAAATACAGTATCTCGACTGATAAAATAACGTTCAGAAACTGTCAAATTACCGCACGGCGTCTTCTCCACCTAAATACCGGCTTGCGGTAACGTTAATAGCGCACAAACGCTTATTATGACACTTTAACTGTCATAGTTGCCAAAATAACGCCTCCGTTAATACCGCATATCGTTGCCATATCTCTCTTATTTTAAGCATTGTCGATGTTAGTTTGTAAAATTTTATCGCACAGATACACAACGGATAACATTGTATAAATTTGCTACCTGCAATGTATGTAGAAAATTCGCTTGGCTTTTTATCGAGTATGTCACATTAAAATCGGATTTCAATTTATTTCATTCTAGGGTCGCTTGCGTTCGTTGCTCGTAACTCGTCACTTGCATCGTTCATAATCGAGCGATGTCGGTTATTTCAATAATCGAGTACTCGAGCGAATTTTCGCCCGAGTTATCCCATCACTAAAAATTATCGCCTGAATCCAATTATAACCTCCGTTTTCTCTCAACGCCCCTGTTTTGGATGAAACGAATTATTTTGGTCCCTACATTGTAATTTCTAGAGTACTAGATACCGTATGATCGAAAAAAAACGGCGTCCAGTTGGCTGGGAAATGAACATCAATGACATTTCCCATATAAATTTACATATAAAATGACAGCAATCTTCATTCCATAGCCATCGCTGACGCCGTTTTTTCTCGATCATACGGTATTAGAGATGAGCAGAACTGCGATTCTCCAATCGCAATTGAAACAATTTTTAGATCGCTGCGACTGTAATCTGCGATTGCGATTTTAATATTTAAATGTTGTACTAATTGTCTGTGTATGTACCTATAGCTTAACATTTAAAAAAAGTTCATAAAAAGTTGTTTAGTTTTTAATTTTTTTAACATCTGCAACTACTGTATTCTTAAGGTGGGTATTCACTTGCAACAAAACACTCCAAACGAACCAAACGCGCCGCGCGCTGTAACAAGTTTGTGTAGTCAGTAGGTTGCGCGTTGCGCCGAACCGAACCGAACGCGCCAAACATTCTCCGAAGCTTGTCGGCAAAAGGGATTTGCTCAAAAGAATTTATTCGTTCGCCGGTGTTCAGTGGATACGGCAGTTTTGAACGTTCGTTGTGTTTGTGGTGTTTTTAAACTGTGCCTAGCTAAGGAGTGGAACAGAGAAAAGTGTTTAGAGTTAATTGATAAGTTTGAAAGGCACTATATTTTATGGGATCCTTGTAAATAAAATTATATGCATATAATCTACGTCAATAAGTAAGGCCGGCAGTATTTTGACGATGCAAAAAGAGGCGTCTTGCCCACGTTTTTCGTTCTTTCCTTTTTTCTCTTTTATGTTACCCACTAATGCCTCTATACTTAAAAAAGCACCAGCAGCTATAGTAATATCAGATACATCCACGACGACAAACACACTAACATTGATTACTGGTGGGAACGCAGCGAACACCGCAAAAAAGCGGAACGCTCCGTGCAAAATGTTTTGCTGCAGGTCGTTCAGAGCGCGCCCGGAAAATGTTTTGTTGCATATTGTTTGGAGTGCGCGGCGCGTTTGGTTGGTTCGGAGTGTTATTGCAAGTGAATACGCACCTTTATAGTACAATACACTTTATTCGATAGAAAATGACACTCTGAATAGAATGAAATAATTTATCAACTTTTGGCATTTTTGCATATGGTTTATCTAGAAATTGGAACATGCGATTCATAACGACAATTTGACTGAAATGTGTGGTACCAAATCATTTGTAAAAAATTCTTTTTCTAAATAGGCTAATGAGCCATCATTCCATTTGAAAACATTGAGATAGGATTTAAAATACGATTTGGGCATCTTTTAATCGGCCAGGACAACACACGAAAAACAATAGACAATTCATTTTTTTTCCAAGGATCCTTGATTAAACAGTAGTTTTTAACACAGCCATGGTACTCTAGATTGAAATTTAAAATATAATTTTTTAAGCTTAAATCTCAAAAGTTGACATATATGATATGCCATTCTATTCAGAGTGTCATTTTCTATCGAATAAAGTAAAAAAAAATACCGAAGGTTCCATTTAAAAATCAAAAGTTGTAGTCATTTCCGGTGAAACAGGAAGTGATCGAAACGAATTTAATACGACAATCAATCCTAATTTATGTCATATGCTAACATACCAAATCTCGTTTTTTTATCAGAAAAAATAAACAAGTTATACATGCGAACCACTCTTGAGAAACGCTCAGTATATTTTGATCTTGGCTCTAGAAAATATTATCTTCTCTATAAATAAATAAAATTAGAGAAAAAATTTAATCGCAGTTTACTATAAAATACTTCAATAGACCACAAAATTACATTCGCAACAAAATCGCAAATCGCAACTATAGTAATATTGGTTGCCTAAATTGAAATTCGCAAACCGAAGAAATCACAAATCGCAGCAAAATGGCAAATCGCAATTATAGGCTGCCTAAATTGAAACTCACAAATAGAAGAAATCGCAGTTGCAGTTGCCTATGAGAGTCAATCGCAGGTCGCGATTGCGATTTTTAAATCGCTGCGATTGAATCGCAGTTTGCGATTTGTTCCTCATCTCTACTAGAGATAGATGGCTACACCCATATCATCACTTTACATATTTCAGTTTCCATGAATATACTTGTAATCATTTAAAACTTCCCAACATGGCGGACTTCAGTATGGGAGGCTTAAAAAACGAAAATATCTAGCAGAAAATATCTAAATATATTTAGTAGGTATAATAAAGTTATAAAGTAACAGTTCCATCAAGACATCGCAAACTTGGAGATCAAATTTTCTGTGTAGTGGAATGTAAGCATGCTGGTTTCTGGGATGACAGAGTTATACCTCAGAGTATAAACGACCAGCAAGCACCGAATCATTACTGCTAAAATTATTATTTTCACTCTTCAAATTAAAACCAAATCTATAAAATTATTATTATTATCTAAATGATAAATATTATTCAGGATGTCAAACAGGCTATTTTCCGTTTGAATTTAGCACTGGCGTTTTTGCAATTTTGATTAATATTATTTTCTTTGATACTAGTAGTATGTTGTATATTAAATTACACAAATAAAGACCTTATTTATTATTTTACATAAGAATCAGTAAGAATGGCAGTCAGGATCGAGAAAAATGCATTTTTTGCAGATCAGTGTAATTAAATCATATCACTTACTTCTCTTGCATCCATAACAGTGCCAACGCCAACTGTTAAGGCTTGTTTCGGCACTTTTCCTATATCGTTCCCAAAAAATCTTGCATTTGCTTGTAGGGTATCTTGAGCTAAGGTTTTAACGCGAGTTCTTGATAATAAAGATGATCCGGGTTCGTTAAAAGCTATATGCCCATCAGGACCAATACCTAAAGTGTAATATGTATAGAATACATCTACAAAGTTACTTTGACGAATTTGTAACCTCCAATAAAGAGATCCACGCCACCCGCATCAGCAATTTCTTTCTCATATTTATTACATTCCTGGATCAGATCAGGTGCATTCCCGTCCAAAACATGAGCATTTTTAGGGTCAATATCGATATGTTTGAAGAAATTATTAAACATGTAGTAATGATAACTTTCAGGATGATCTCTGGGAAGGTTTACCTAAAATTTTAAACATAAAACGTCTATTCATACCTAGTGTGAGCAGATGATAAACATTTCAGACATATTATTGATCATTCGAAACACGAGAAACCTTATTCTGTATACAATTAATGGCGCAGATGATTTTTAAGAATTACAGGCAAGTAGATTTTAAAAGATTCGACAAAGAAAAACACGAAACTTGTCGAAATGTATGAATCGGGAATTGGCAGCAAAGATGTACCACATCTGAAAAATATATATTGGCAACAAACAGCCCACATTAAAGCTGAAAATGATACTTCCAATCCAGTCAGCACACAGAGAGGAGTAAGACAAGGATATTGTTGCGGACCCGTGTGAACTCGACCTAACCTAACTATATGTCTCGGAATGGACATCATGACCACTAGAGGTTTTGAGCTAAACCTCAAACAAGGAATTTTGAAAATAAATGAAGAAGAAGTGGTTCTGCATCGAAAATGTGAGGAGACACTTCGCGTGGTGGTAGCAGAAGATGTTTCGATCCCTGAGCGCTGTGAGATATTTTTGGATGGCTGCCTAGAAGGTAAAATGAATGATGGGAGTATTATTCTGTTGGAGCCAAGGAACCATGACATCGAAATAGGACGAGGGATCGCTGTTGGAAAAGCCCTGCTACGAGCGAAGAAAACTGTACCGGTGAGAGTAATGAACACGAATTATTATTCTATATCCTTGAAGAAGGGAACCCTCTTAGGGTACTGTTGTTCGGTCTCCTCAGTCGTTCGAAGCGTGGAAGCCTCCAAAGTTTCGACTTCAAAAATTCCGGACAAAATGGTGAAGGAGTTAGTAAACGTTAAGGGATTATCTCCCGAAAATAGTAGAAAATTGAGAAACCTGATAATCAAGTATCAAGATGTGTTTGATAAAGGAGAAGCAGGACAGAGAGGTCGTACCAATTTAGTACAACATAAAATTGATACAGGAGATGCGCGACCAATCAAACAAAATCCGAGAAGACTTCCGCTCGCCAAACGTGAAGAAGCTGATAAAATCCTTCGAGAAATGAAAGAAGAAGATGTCATCGAACCATCTAACAGCCCGTGGACATCGCCGGTAGTACTAGTAAAGAAGAAAGACGGTACCACCAGATTCTGTGTTGATTATCGGCAGCTCAATAATGTTACCAAGAAGGATAGTTATCCCCTGCCGAGGATAGACGATACTCTAGACACGCTGGCGGGGTTAACGATATTCTCTACGTTAGATCTGAAAAGTGGATATTGGCAAGTCGACATGGCGCCGAAAGATAGAGAGAAGACAGCGTTCTCGGTGGGCTCCGGACTGTGGCAATTTACCGTCATGCCTTTTGGATTGTGCAACGCGCCAGCTACCTTTGAGAGACTAATGGAGTCTGTGTTAAAGGGACTATCCTGGACTACCTGTTTAGTGTACCTGGATGACATCATAGTGGTGGGGAAATCCTTTGACCATCATCTGAAGAATTTGGAAGAAGTTTTCAAGCGACTAGGGAGTTCTGGTTTGAAACTTAGCCCCAAGAAATGTCATCTGTGTCAAGAAAAGGTACACTACTTGGGCCATGTAGTCTCCTCCCAAGGAGTTGCGGTAGATCCACAGAAGACCAAGAAGTGGAAGAGTGGCCGATACCTAAAGATAAACATGAACTACGAAGCTTTTTGGGACTATGCACATACTATCGCCGCTATGTACAGGGTTTCGCCACCATCGCAAAACCATTGACCAGACTTACCGAAGGCGAGAGGCGTTTCTCTTGGGACTCAGATTCTGACGAGGCATTCCGAAAATTGAAGAAGGCCCTGACTAATGCGCCCATACTTAGCTACCCTCTTGGCAACGAAAACTTTATATTGGATACCGACGCTAGCAATGTTGCGTTAGGCGCTGTTCTGTCTCAGATCCAGGATGGTCAAGAAAAAGTAATTGGTTATTTTAGTAAGACCTTGTCGAAACCGGAAAGGAACTACTGTGTAACCAGACGAGAATTACTAGCGGTAGTTAAAGCAGTGGAACACTTCTACAAGTATCTCTATGGAAGAAAGTTCTTGTTAAGAACAGACCATGCTGCTTTGAAATGGCTGTTGCAGTTTAAGAATCCTGAAGGGCAGGTAGCTAGATGGATTGAACGATTACAAGAATTTGATTTCGACACAGAACATCGAGCTGGGGCGATCCATCAAAATGCCGACGCACTTTCCAGAAGACCTTGCGATAAGGACTGTAAGCATTGTTCCCGAGCAGAAGAGAAAGAAGCGAAACTCCTAAGAACAACTGTGGTTAACGATACTTGGCAACCCGAAGATCTTGGAAACGACCAAATCAGTGACCCAGAATTAGGCTTACTGATTAACTGGAAAAACGCGGACCAAAGATCAACGTGGGAGGAAGTTTGCAGATATTCGCCGAACGTGAAGTCGTACTGGGCCCAGTGGAATTCCTTGGTAATAGATGACGGGTTACTCCGCCGTGTGATTGAGAGGCCAGAGGGACAAGAAGAGAGAAGGCAGATCGTCATTCCAAAGAAGAGGGTCCCGGAGGTCTTGGAGGAAGTTCACAATGGAACCAGCGGTGGACATCTTGGTGTTACCAAGACACTTGGCAAGCTGTGTGAACGGTTCTATTGGGTGAACTGCACAGAAGACGTGAGAGCCTGGTGTAAGAAATGCGACGTTTGCGCTGCTATCAATGGACCACAAAGGCGCGGTAAAGCTCCAATGCGCCAGTACAATGTAGGCAGTCCTTTCGAACGAATAGCGATCGACGTGGCTGGTCCTTTCCCAGAGACGAACGATGGCAACAAATACATTGTGGTAGTAATGGATTACTTCAGCAAATGGGTCGAGGCCTACGCGTTGCCAAATCAAGAAGCGTCCACCATTGCTGATGCTCTTGTTAAGGAATGGATCTGCAGGTTTGGTGTTCCCATGGAGCTGCATTCAGATCAGGGAAGAAACTTTGAGTCCAATCTGTTCCAAGGCGTCTGTGAGGTCCTTAACATCCGCAAGTCCAGGACGACTGCTCTGCATCCACAATCCGATGGGATGGTTGAACGCATGAACAGAACCATCAACCGTTATTTGGCCAAAGTAGTCTCTGACCACCAAAGAGACTGGGACAAATTTCTTCACCTGTTCCTGTTGGCCTATCGTTCATCCGTCCAAGAATCTACAGGGCAAACTCCAGCCAGCATCGTTATGGGACGGGAAGTGCGCCTACCTTGTGATCTGAAGTTTGGTTGTCGACCGGGAGAACATGTCGCTGGAGAAGATTATGTCCACACACTACGTCAAAGGATGGACGACATCCATCAGCGAGTCCGCCTAAATATTCAAAGCGCTAGTGACCGAATGAAGGAGCACTACGACATTCAAGCTGAGCATGGGGGATACCAACCAGGGAATTTGGTGTGGCTATACAACCCGCAGAGACGTCGTGGGTTATCTCCGAAGCTACAATCCTCGTGGGAAGGGCCATACGAAGTCATGGATAGGATTAATGACGTCGTATACCGTATCAGAAAATTGCCAAAAGGAAAACCGAGGGTAGTCCATTTCAACCGTTTGAGCCCCTACCAAGGCGAAATAGAAGATCGTGCTGGGACCGTGAGAACCTGTAGCTTTGATCCCCCTGATTCGGAGATGTCCTTTGACGATTTCATGGCCCGATACAACAGCAGTGAGAAGGCTCGCTATGGTGTAACCAAAGAAGAACAACGAGATCTCTTTTCCGTGCCTCCTGATTATTCGCTCGCTCATTGTGTGGCTCGAGATTTGCGGATGTCCAGAGGAATCGCTGCGACGTTCAATGAGAAGTTTGGGCGTGTCGGAGAACTACGCCGACAGGATCCAGAGGTTGGAAGCAACCGACAATGCATATGGTCAAGCAAGGTACATCTACCTGGTCACCAAGGAATGGTCCCCGAGTAAGCCGACTTATCTCAATCTATGGAAGACCCTGATTGAACTGAGAGAAGCCCTGCTAAACAACAACGTTGCACGATTAGCCATTCCGAAGCTGGCGTGTGGACTCGATGGTTTGAGTTGGCGTACAATCCGGAACATGATTGAAGTCTTGTTCAGATTTACGGGAATCGAGATCCTTGTTTGCTGCTACAACCCAAAGCTGAGATCGGGAGAGAAAACTGTAGACTGCTATTTCTACCAGACTTCGCAATGTACCAGGGGCCAGCTTTGCAAATACCTTCATTCACCGTGTACATCTCGGGACGAGCATGTGCCTAAGAAGGGGGCAGTGTTGCGGACCCGTGTGAACTCGACCTAACCTAACTATATGTCCCGCCCTCAGATGACCTGAACATCGAATTAAAGAATATACACCGTAATGATTCATTCGTTCGAGAAGAATCGAGTCCCACTGGAATGGACTAGTACATACGAGAACATTCGAAAACCTCCTCTACGCACCTAACGATCTATGCACTATTCTAGAGTTCTTTACCTGTCGGTATAAAAGCCGGTGGCTGTGGCCTACAGGGGGCAGTTATAAATATACCAGTGCAGTTGACGCGTTAAAATTCAAAATAAATTCTTAGTTATAAATCGTTTGTAAATAGTTCTATAAGTCTTTTATCATTATTGTTTTTGTTAATTAGTGTTAAATAAATAGTGTTTAAATAAATTGTGACTTTCTATCCACACGGAACCGACGAAAAACGTAACAATATGTACTGTCTTTTTCGTTATGCTATGCTTATTCTGAGACGATTTTTTGGAAGGTTTCTCTACAACAAATTGCGGTATTAAAGTCAATGATGAAGACTGAAGTCATTAACAACATTAGAATTGCCGAAGACACAGTTCTTATTGCCGACTCTGATGTTGTACTCCTGAGATGAAGATCAATTCCTCTAAAATCAAAGTAATGGTATTTGAAAAGAACCAAAATATACCAGCCCCCATTAATATAGGAGGCTTAGAACAGGTCTACAAGTTCAAATATTTGGGGTCCTGGATTTTTGACACCTTGAATAACGACGTGGACATAAAAACCAGAATAGAACAGGCCAGAAATGCATTTCTAAAAATGAAGAACGTTTTCCAGATTGGACCTTAAGTTGAGAATTAGACTCGATATAGCCTAAGAGCTGACGACATATTTAGAGATCATATTTTAGGCAAGCCAGAATAACTAAAAATGTATAGTTTATTAACTGGTGAACCCAGAATCCTAAGTCGGGCAGAGGGATTGCGGGTATTTCGCTACTGCGCAACCCATGACATTTACAAAAAAATAAATCCAAAAAACATCCTTTAGGCAACTTGAAATTTGTTTATTCTCAAATTTTAGTATACATAATAAGACATCACTTAACCAGAAAAAAAATTACAACAATCATATTTTTTTTCTCTCCCTGTCGCCGATTCTATTATATCTGTGGAATAGATCCTGTTTTGATTAATATTAGAGGTTGTAAATGTTTGACTAAAATTAATAATTTTTTATTAATTTCAAAAATTACGTAATTTCGATTATAAAATTTCTTCTATAACGTGTATTTTATTATTTTTATCCTTTTTGGACTCTAAGACGTTTGTTCTAAACTTTTATTTAAAAAGCCTGTCCTAAATCTTAATAAAATATAAAAAAGTTTAAATACGATATATTTTTAATTTAATTATAGCTTCATTAAAATAAAAATAAATACCCGGCTATGATACGGAGAGTTCAGGTGTACTTGAGAAACGAAAGACAGTGTTGTCACAAAATATACACCATACAGAAGCGACAAAGAGATTTGCTTCAAAATTTTTAGGAGGAGGTAATGCTGGTTAACTGTTAAACGTGACGTCAAAGAATTATACACCAAAAAAAAATTCACGACCGCAGGTATAATTATTTCTAGATATTATGCATAAAAGACTAAAAAATATATTTCATAATTATTTATTTATTTTTAATTCTAAATAAAAATACTGATTTAAATCTCTCTAGTTTTTAAAAATTAAATAAACCTGCCTTTCATCATTTTCTATTAAAATCTAACAATTTTCTTTCAGTGTGAAATGCTGTTCAAGGCGCACGGATGTCAAACGTGGCGTCACGCAATTAGTTCCCATTTGACCAATGCTATTCAAAGCTCTTTGTCGCTTCTGTATGGTGTATATTCTGTGGTGTTGTGTTTCTCGGCAGAGTCGTCAGGGAACGACCGTTACGACAGAGACAACCTATCTATCGCTCGTGTCGCACTCGTTATAACCTAAAACAATAACACAACAATAACAAGACATTGTCTGACCGCATGTTCCAGCTATTTATGAATGAGATGCTCAGTCTATATTTTATTTTAAGTCTATGCACCAAGCACTATTTCTGAATAGCGTTTAAAAATTGCTTAAATGGGCATGTGCGGGTATTTGACAACCCGGGCCGGCCGGCGAGATCTTTTATTTTAGGTTATGTTTGAATTGTTTTGAATTATTACTTTAGTTTTATTAGGTAATTTGATATTTAAGAACCTATAAAGAGGCTTAGGTTTACAGCAGATGACGACTTAGCCCTTCTAAGAGAATTTGTTGCTGTTGCCCTAAACCCACTGGCAGACGTTGAACAATAAAGCACTGGAAATAAGCACTTTAGACCTTTAGTTTTAAAATACCTAGTAAACAAAACAATTTCAAAGTTTTAAATTCAAAGTTAGGTTAAGTTTAAATAGCAGATGCGACGCGAACAGAATTCTTTCCGATCCGATAACTATAAATGAAAAGAGTTAATACCACTTCATGTAAAAGAAATAACACCTGGCCTTATTAACGTCCATGCACGCTATTCGGTTTAGCGATATCTCTCTATTACGCTGTTTATTGTTATTTTACGCGAGTTTATTTTTGCGCACAGGAAATTTTACTCGTTTGCACATCGTCATAAAAAACAATTTTCGTACCACGAATTAGGGACAAGATTTTTATCTGTATACTTATAGGATACCTAATCTGTGGCGCTAACAATAAGTGAAAAGAAAGAAATTTTAATATATTAATAACCCTATTATATTATTATATTATCTTACTTTTTCATGACTTTACACTTATATTATTATATTATTATCTGTTATTTACCATAAATAACACTTGACATTAAAATAAGTAAATATTAAAAATATTACTTACATATTCATCCATATTAAAAGTTTTTACATATTTGAATGAAATTTTTCCAGCTCTATAAAACTCAATTAACTTTTGATACATTCCATAGGGGGTACTGCCTTTAACATAAAAAATTAAAAAAATATATTTTATTGTCATAAAACTAGAGTTTGAAGCCACCAATATTAAAAGCCATCTTGAAATATAAAATTATGACTACTATTAGATGATTTAATATAAATCTGTTTAATCAAACAAAATTATTTTAAGAGCAACACACATAAAATATAAACAAAAAATTACTCTTATACCTATTAACTTTTATGGAAACTTATTATTAACTTAAAAAATTAATCAACAAATTTACTAAGATATTCAGTACAGTGACCAAATGAATACGAATATAAATGCACAGTTTTAATAATAATAACTACAATTAATAGATACATTTATTAGAAAACGTTTAAAAGACTATAATTTAAAAAATTAGTTTTCTATTGTAGTTTTGAATCAGTTGGGTGTTAAGAATTCTGATATTAAGAAAAATCATTAGAATTAAAATAAGATAGTTCATGTCATAATGAAATTAAGTATTGAAACATGACTGATTGTGCAACAGGTGCTATAAGTACCATATTAACAAATAAGTAGGTCAGTGTTGTATGCTAGAATAGGTAAGTACAGGCACCCTGAGAAGTACCCTATATTTATTTAAATAACTAAATATTAAATAGAGATATATTAAGTAGAATTTTAAATATAAAATACATATCTAACCTGTAGGTAGTCCTAATACAAAATATTTCTCAGGACCAGGTTGAAAATCTTGAATTCTTTTTTTAACATATCTGGCTGCCCATTCTGCAACTTCATTTGGATCATTCAAAATCACCAACCTCATTTTAGATTTTTCTACGTTTATGCAGTAATAACTGAAGGCTACTGAGCACTGATAAAGCAACCAAATATTTTCATTACTGTCGACACAAACCACGAAACCTGAATATGTATTACCACAGTCGTCAATCCAAACCAGTTGTTTTTAATTTCTTTTATCAGAGTTTGTTGACCTAAATCATTTATGAGAGGTAAATAAATAGAAAACGAACCGATAAAGTCCGGAGAGATAATCAAACGAGCGACATCAAAATAATATTTGTCAGATACAAGATACAAGTTTGTTTGTGTCTGCAGTATTCCAATTATATAGTTGTTTTTCAACGAAATTATAATAACTTCTCTGCTTCTCACGTTCGGTCGTTTTTATCGTTACGATCATGACCCACATAACCACAGTTACCACACCACACAAAGTCAGCCAAATATAGATAGTTGTTCATTCAAGTGAATAATCTTCATTTTAAAAATGTATTTTTAGCTCTGTTTTTAGTTTAAAATCATATTTTTAAACACAAATATTCTTTCTAACCTCAAATGTCAACAAATGCATGTCAAAAGACACAGATTGTGCATCGTGCATCGACATAGGCGGGTAAATTTAGGGTTCAAATTTTAAAAATATTCAAAAAGTCAGTACCTATTGATGAAATCACCAAAACGTCATTCTATAGTCTGTCTAACGAGAGTATAAATGACAGTGACAGTTGTGTCTGTCATTTTAATGTAGATGTAAATTGTATTTTCTATCATTTTTTGAGTGGCGTGTTGGTTGGTTTGGGTTCTAAATCTTCCGTTTAATCTTCTCTACAAGGTGTTCCTTAAAGTTTGTTACTTAAGGGAGTCATTCGTGGACCTATTCTTTGATGATACCGTGCGATTGAAAAAAAACGGCGTCTAGTTGACTCGGAAATGACGATCGATGACATTCCCCATATATTTTACATAAAAAAACACAGCAATCTTCATTTTATTGCTATGTTTCGGAGGATGGCAAGAAGGAAACACTTCTTATTTCAATACATTAGTCTTTATTACTATTAGATAATATAATATCACATTTCTTTGTTATAGTCTATAAAATGAATAACTTTGAATTTTGACCGTTATTTTTTACCAACATGGCAAATATAAAATCAATCTGTCAAAAAAGTTACTGATATTTTTTAAGTAGTCTTTAAATTGAGTGCCTGAACGAATCAGATAGGTAACTCTTTTTACTTTCGTGAAATAGAAAAAATAATAATAAAACAAGTGACAGTTCTCAAGTCACCAAGTCACCCCCTCTTCTCGAAATGGCATAATTGTCAAAAAAGTTGTCAACTTTTGACATTTCTAAATATCAGACTAATGCCGTCTCTAATAGAACAGTCTCGGAGCGAGATTTATGACGTCACGCTAATTAGATGCGGATTAATAAATATGTTGTAGAATACATGGAAAACATAATTATTCCTCGTATTTTTGGTTTGTATTTTAAAAATGATATAGTTTACATAAAATATACATAATATACAGTTAATAAATATAATATATATACCTATTTATAGTAATAAATACTTTGGCAAATAAACTATGATGATGATCATCCTCTTTAAATGGCCAGATCATACACTTATTTTTGACCATTCCCAATTACAATCACGATTTTTACAAATCGCCTTTAGGAAAACTAAAAATAAACAGTTTTGGATCATCTGTAAACACGATTATGTTGTATAAACTTACACATGAAAACTAATCATTTTTCCCGGCGTATTAGCTTTCTTAGAATGACTATGAAATATACAACAAGCCTTTTTCAATTAGTGTTTAGAATAATTGAGATAATAATAAATTTTAACTAGATAACAACACAAACGAAAAAAAAACAAAACAAACAGATGTCAATTAAAGAGGGGAAGTGACAGCGAGACCTGGAAGATGTCTGCCATCTTGCCGTCGACAAAAATTTGGATGCGCACTCGTCGAAGCTCATTCTCCCACTTCCATATCTCTGATACCGACTGGCTGCTGGCTGTAGTCGGCGTTGCTTGCGCACACAAACCCTAGGCTAGGCAGTGTTGCCACAACATAACATTTATAACCATCGCTGACGCTGTCTTTTTTTCGATCCAAGTTAGACAGGTTGTTTCCTAAGTAGTTTTAAAAAATTGAGGATGTGATTGGAGTCTAAAGTATTTTCTCTCTGATCTATAGGGTGTTTAAAAAAATCGAATTTCTCGCAATATGTTAAAACTACTTTATATATTTCCTTCAATTTTACTTTGCGGATTCCAGGTATAAAGGGAGTTCATTTCCATTAATTGTTGTCCAACTTAAATCAGTGACGTACGTACGCACTCACCTCTGGATTATTTGATTAATATAAATGGTAAAAAAGTCTATACCTATGTAGCGGATTCATCTCTCCAAAAAATCCTATGGGTATTTCGCCACTGCAAGAAAGTCTACAAAATAAAATAGTTACTTTTTGTAAACACTGCTGCCTTAATCTAACTGAGACTAATTGTCAGCAGTGGTTTACTAATAAACAAATTTTTTAGTAGAACGTCACAGAAAATAACTAAATAACTATTTTATTTTGTAGATGTTCTTGCAGTGACGAAATACCCATAGGATATTTTTGGAGAAATATAAATGGTACACCAATGCTTTTTTGAGAAAACTATTTTTTTTCAAACGTCACAAAAGTATTAATTTTAGCGACTAGCGACGTGATTGACAATATGAAAAAGTTACTTTAACGCCTGCCTAGGCATAAAAGTAAAGCACTTTTACGCCTAAGCGCTTAGAGAACTTTTAAGCCCTAATCATAGTTTTTCGATATTGTATAATTACATACAAGCATTATTTTTAAATCTTTTTATATTATTTGCAAAGTTCGAAATTGTTTAAAAAATCATTTGTTACGTTTGAAAAAAACATGTTCCATTCCGAGTAAAAATTACCGTTTGTGCCTCGCCTGTAATGTCAAACGTATAGCCTCGCCACGAAAAGTTAGAAGAAGTTAAGAACTTTTACTCCTAATAAAACAAACTATTTACTTGATTGTCCATCCTTTTTTAACAAGATTGATTTCTTCAGTTTTTTCGAGAAAAAAATTTAATCAACTCATCTCATTGCATATTCCAAAATCTCGAGAAAACCAGCATACAGGGTGGCGCCTCTCATACGCCGCGAAGGCTCCAAGGAGAACGACAGTTTGTATTGAAATGAAATTTTGTGAGCATATGTAGGTTAATTCGGAGCACTTTTTAAAAATATAGAGAGTTCTATAGGGTGTCCCCAAAAAGTTACATATCAAAGTTGTGTTTTTTGTAATAGAACAGAATCCTATATATTAATTGATTTTCGGACTCTGGGAGAAAACTAAAGGTGAGTTTTATAAGAGAAGTATATGACTAAAATGTAAGGTTTATACAGGGTGAGACAAAATATTGAACATTGGTCATTTTTAAAAGCATGTTACTCTCTTATTTTAAACGGAACACCCAGTATATTATTCCGATATTCAATAGAGAATTTATGTCTCTTCAAAGTACTATTAAGGTTGCCTACCCCTCAAACAAAGATTTTCCTAGATATTTTTATTTACATGATTTGATCTGAGTAGATCTTTATTATTTGATAAAATCTAGGTGGCTGTGATATGTCTGACGTTACTTCAACATAGCTGTCTAATTAGTCCAACTTTAATAACTAGTTATCATTTTGTGTCAGTTAAAACAAAGAAAATTCTTAGAAATTTGCCGAAAATGCAAACTTATCCTACATCAGAGAATTGATATGATTCTATTAGTTGGTGAATGCAGTGTGCATTCACGAATTAATAGAATACTTAAACGCTCCTGATTTTATCTAGTCTGGGTTTCTTTATTGGGATATGTTAAAGATAGTGTTTACTAAACTGGGCCAACTAGTGTCGGCAACATGAAAGAAATTATTGTAGCTGCTTTTCGAGGTAGAACTCCACATATGCCTTTTAAAATGAAAAGATCCTTATGAAAAAACAACCATTTTATGCAGTTAACAGGAAAGGAAGCATTTTGAGCATTTGATTTCATCTAGCTAATTCTTGTCGCATAATTATAGGTTTATATCTAGTTTTAATTCTGTAATAATTAAAATATGTTTTAAACGTGTATCTTTTTATTACCCTTGAGTATTTTACTCTACAATCTTTAATTTTTGTTAAATTAACAAAAGGTATATCACACGACAGCCACCTAGATTTTTCAAATAATGAAGATTTACTGACGCAAAACCATAAAAATTAAAATATCTGGGAAAATCTTTGTCTGAGGGGTAGGCAACCTTAATAATATTTTGAAGATATATAAATTCCCCATTGAACACCGGAAAAATATACTGGGTGTTCCATTTAAAATAAAGGAGTAACTTGGTTTTAAAAGTGACTAATGTTCCATAATAATTTTGTCTCACCCTGTATAACTTTTCGGGTCAAATTTCAATTTGGTTTAACATACAATGGTTTTCTTTAGTTCAATATCAGGCTATACAAGGTCAACTAAAATTTAGATAGCTGTTATCGAAATTTAAAATTTACTCTTTATTTTCACAAAATGTGAAATATGTCAAAATCCTTACATTTTAGGTATATGCTTCTTTAATAAAACTCATCTTAATTTTTTTCCTAGAATCCGAAAATCAATTAATATATAGGGTGTGACATTAGAAAAAACACAACTTTGATGTGTAACTTTTTTTGGGGACACCCTGTATAATTCTATATATTTTTATAAAATGCTTTCAGTTAACCTATATATGCTGCGAAAATTTCATTTCAATATAAACGACCGTTGTCCTTGGAGCTTCCGCGGCGTATGAGAGGCGCCACCCTGTACATACATGAATATCGAGGCGAACTTATTTTTTTCTTTTTTTTTCTCGAAAACTCTCCATTATACAAGTAAAACTCAAAAGATCAATTTTGTTCAAAAAGTATATTGACAGTCTAGAAAAAGAAATTGCTTTCTCGAAAAAACGCAGTGGCGTACCATTTATTTAAGCCAATTTAATTCAATTTTTTTAAAATTTTTAACACTCTTAGATTAAAGGTAGTAGTAGTTTACTTAGTAGATTAAAAAGAAAGTACTTTAAAGCCTATGTTTATACAGGGTAAGTCTTAAATAAGTGCAAATATGTTTAGGTGTGGTATTTCGACCCCAGGAACACGTCTATGAGGTTTTTTCGCAAAAAAAGATTTTGAAAATCGTGCATTTTCTTTTAAATTTTCCTGCATATTTTAGAAAACGTTTTAGAACTGCGTATTCACGGCAAATCATTCTTAATCTAAGGACAAATCTTCCCATGGATATTACCATGGCTACGGCTTTACTCTGTGATTACGGCAATAAAAGGGATGCAAATTTAGAAAAAAACGGTGGCTCTCAATTTTTCTTTAAAATAAATATGTTTTTTTTAATTTTCAAACTTGTATAACTCGGTTATTTTTACTTTTTTGAAAAACGGTAAAGAGAAAATATATTTTTTCTACA